AACTTATGCCAAAGATAGCTTATATGTATGTAGTCTTTTACTCCCAAAAAGCTTGAGTGACAACCTTAACTCAGACTCCCCTTTTTGCTGGATTCCAGGGGTTTGCACTTACAAAGCCAAATTTGAATTGCAGATCTGTAGTACAACAATGATCTTTATTACTCTTCTTGCTGTTGGACTGTGTGTTTTGTATCTGATTGTGTTATTACAGCAGGTTTAGAGATCCTCAACCTAGCAACATTTAGCTCAATGTGTGTAGCTCTCAAGGCATTAGTTTAGGAAATTAATTATGTGATTAGACGGCAGGTTATTGCTTAAACTTGTAATTAATCAATCGAGAAGGTCTTCCAAGCTTTTTTAGTTTTTTCCTTTTTTTTTTTTTTCTTTTTCAGGTTAGCCATGAAGTCTCTTTTAAAATTCTTCTTAAAATTCTAGTTCTTCATCAGCTTCACCATAACTTGATGATGACCGTTCATATACATTTTCAGAAAAAAAAATTACTCATCATAAGAAGTTAAATGGCACTAATTCTTATAGCTTTCATTTTTGGCTGAAAACAGATAAGAAAGCAATTGTAAATGCTCTGTTTGGTCGTTTTATGATTGTCTACTACAGAGAGAGAGCTAGATAGCTGAAATAACTGCCTAAGGGGTCTGTGATATCAGTCATACACAGAAAAAAAGTGCAAGGAGTAGGCTGTAATGGTACTGCATGAGTCACTTGTCTTAACTTCAATAAGTATTAAGCTTCAGTCCTTCATATCACGTTCTGGCCATGAGTACTTGTCTTGTAATTGTCGGTTTGCTGTGACAACTTGAGACTTATCATAAGCATGTTGTACAAATTCTGCTTGCAATTCCTCTAGTACACATTCACAATTCCTTGAAATTCCATATAACTTGAAGTGATATTTCATTACGTATCTATCTTGTGGGTGAAGCTCATTCTGAAGGCTGAAATATGGAATTAGAATAGCATCCATGCATCTCGAATTCCTGAATCACTTTCTAGATAGGAAGATATGCAATTTCTGTTAAATCAGACACTGCAAGTAAACAGTTTCAAATTTTTCTCCTGTAATTGCATATTTATAACCCATGCAGCAACTTCCATATAATCATCTAGATAAGCATCTAAAAAAGAGCAGATGAGATAAGATATCAGCTGCTGTGGTTTTGATTTGACTAAACTGTGTCATATAAAAATGAAAGTAATCTTGTGAGCTATCTGCAGACAGTTTCTGCTCCTCTGAGGTTTACAGAACTGCCCGAAGGTGTGATCTGTATGCAGTTGGAGTGCAATGCCTCAGAGGCAGGTTCCCTACTCTTCTGTTGTGTATGCAAAAAGAAACGCTTTCTTTCCAACATTTTTTATGGTATCTTTTAAACTGTTCATGTTTCAAAGACAATGGTCTTCTCATAGAAATTGTCCCCATGGATTTGGAAAAGGGTGGCTCCATATCTGTAGTATGAAAAAAAGATGGCAAGCATGGCTGAGGGAAGGGCTGCCTGGAGGTGGTTTGGAAGGTGACTGCATGATAAGCTGTCCATGCTGGGGGTATCACTGCTCACCTGTTGGGAGGGCAAAGTGGACCTCAGGTTAGCTGCATACAGGTTTATTAGAGCAGCTGCAATGCCATAAAAAAGACCTGAGTGTTTATTTGGCTGCTGAAGGGCTAGGAGGGAGAAAAGGAAATAACCCTACATTGAGAGTATTTGGCCATTCCTGGTCTGAGATTAAAGTAATGACAATTGTGGTGAACTCTAAAACCAACAGAATAAATTCACAGTCAAACCTTTCATTTTTTGAGAATTTGTAATGGTGAGATATGTCTCAAGTAAATTTGAGATTTTACAGCGCACTGTTATTAATAGTTCTACATGTATTTCACAGTTAGGAATAAATTAGAAAATAATTTAGCTGTACATAAATAATGTACACCTTGATTTGAGACCTGAAAAATATGGTTGTGATTTTTTTTTCTTTTTTGGGAGGGAAGGAAGAGTGAGCTCTTCTACATATTCTATGACTTTTCCAAACCTAAAGAAGAGATGGCATGCTCAAGAAAAGACTACTCTGTTCATCTGATTTAGTATTTACCAAAATTTAACTTTCACCCTCCTGTATCCACATGTTCAAGTGCAGCCTGTAGGGTTTGTTTTTTTCATCAGCTTCAGGAGACTTTCCAAATACAGTAACATGATTCAGATAATATTAGATTCTGAGCTTGTTATTAAGAATTATTAACATATTTGAAAAGCTCTGGATGTTGATTCAGGTCCATATGGCGTATGATTAAAAGAGAACAGTTCCATTAAGTGTAATAAATGCTACGAAACTCAAACTGTCTGGATACTTGGCAATTGACATTCTTTAAATCAAGAGTATAAAACACATTCTATAACTATGACAGTAGTATCTGCAAATGGTTAACTGTCAATCCTTGGCTTTGGTTTCCCTATGTCCACACAAAACCAAATACTCTGGTTTGCTTTCTGTCACCACTGTGCTGACACTAATTTAGAAAATGCAATTTCTCCATTAGTATCATTCTGGGATATTTTTTTAATTATCTTGTTACTCAGCATCTCTTGTTCAATTGTAGTGACTATAATTTCCATTGTAGAAGTGGCACATTAGATTGAATTGCCATGCTGTGAATAAATCATTCTGCACACATATGGCATTTCCATGTACCAGCTGATACTCCTTCTTTTGTAAGAGCTGAAACTGGGATTTGCACTGTAGCAGTGTTTCATAGTATTGAAGCAATGCATATTTATATGTATATATATATACTTGCATAAGTTGTCAAGTTCACAGATAAAAATAAAAATCAACAGTACTTATCAAAAGTAATTTTTCTATGCATGAAACAACAAGAACAGTGTTCTTCAGGCAGCTCACTAGATAATGTCAAGCCTCAAACTTCTATAATATTTCAGGTAAATGCATTCACTGGGTACTGCAGCTTAGAAATCAGCGTTCAATGTTATTTTAGTGTCATATGACTGTTCTACTGACACAAGTAACCGGACACAAATGCATCCATAATAAATAACTGCTTCCATCTGTGGTCAAAAAGTAACATCTGGCACTGTAACATCACATAAATATTGGTTAGGTAAAAATTCATTATATAATTTAATGTACCATCTTTCTGCTGTTTTGCAGGTTATCCAAACTGGTTTACAATGTGCTGTAAATATTTACACACACACATATATACATTTATATGTGCTACATATAACGAGTTTTTAGCCATAGTTCCAACGGCTGCAGTTCGAAGGCAGTTCACTATTTCTCAATTTTGGTATTGCCGATTCAGTTAGAGAAGCAAGAGCCACGATCTCGTGTAGCATCCAACTCATGCAGTAAATACTATCTATAATCAAAAGGAAATGCTTTCTTCCACAAGATGAACTTGACCTTTTTCTGCTGTGCTTCTAGACTTACATATAATTTTTAGTTCCCTTAAAGCAGAACTGCACTGTTCTGTTGAGGCACTTGGTTTCTGTGTATGTTGGCAAACTGTACTGGATTCAGTTACAAGATTTATTGCAGAAAAAATAAATTTCATTTCGTTTGTAAAGATTCTTTTTTTTTTTTTCCCCTCCTCATAATGAAAGCATACAAATACACATCGGCTCTCTGCTCTGATACAGGAAACAGCACAAGTGGTTTCCTTTCTCCAGCAAAGGCAGTGTCACTGTCAGTATGTAATTCCCAACCATTTTCATGTGAACTACAGAAGCAACTTACACATCCAAGTTGGATGGGGCTCTGAGCAACCTGGTCTAGTAAGAGGTGTCCCTGCCCATGGCAGGGTGGTTGGAGTTCGGTCATCTTTAAGGGTCTTTCCAACCCAAACAATTCCACAACTCTATGAACTTATGAGCACATGGACTGTGTAGGAATGATGTAAATAAAATAAATGACAGCGCAACACTGGTCTTGTTTATTCACCACCTGAATTGAAACTATGTAATACTAAAAAGATTATTCCAGTTGTCCATAGAAATACCAAATGAAAGTCTAATCCTGACTGCAGCAAGCAATAGTACAAACCAACTGAACCAAACAAAAAAATCCACATAGTCAGATTAGCTTAAGGAGCTCACTGAACTTCTTTTTCCTGACAAATGTCTGTCCAACAACAACCCTGCAACACCACAGGTCTCATGAGTAATAGAAGTTAATGTTATGTACATGAAGCAGGTACCTGTGAATAGATAGGAACTAATGCAGAATATTTATTTAAGACTTAATAACAGCTAGTTATGATGAGAGTGACTGATAAACCTGCCTGAGCTTTTTTGTTTTGTTGGAGCTTCAATATTTAAAACAGCGGGAGTATTTCAAAGGCAGTTTAAGTGAGGTACTTAATTATTACAGAGTTAGGATTTTAGCATGGGAAACAAAATGTGAATAAAACCTGTATGGTTTGGAATAAAAATCTACTAAAGGTGAGGAAATGCAAAGGGGAAAAAATGGAACTAGGAAAGACACAGAAAGGCTGAAAATAAAGTCAAAGTAGCAAAACATAGACAAAGAAGTGATACTAATAGCAAGCATTTCCTTTCTAAATGTTACTAAGGTGAGAAAGAAGGCATTCAGTAAATAAGAAAGGAATATGTAGCTGTTTCGACAACTGGATGATTGTAAAATTTTTACACGACCTCACTGCTGAACCTGAAACATTGCAGTTGCAACAATATTTTTCTCAAGAACATTTCTGAGGCATACTCAAATCCTCTGATCAGTACTATAGAGCCTGGAATCAAAACAAAATTTAGAAGCAGCTGTTTTATTGGAATTTTGTTTTGCTAATGTTTTTGTTTAAGTGGGAGTGAATTTTGAAATCTGGAAAGGTGTTTGGTCATGAACTATCTTCCGTGCATCATTTCCCCTTAAAACATAAGGATGGGGAGGAAGGGCAAAACGACCACAGACGATCTGAGTGCTCTTTTTATTAAAGTGTAATGCTATCAGGTTGTTACTTCTGCTTCCTTGAGGAGCTGAAGGTTCTCAGGGTTGCCCCGGTCCTGTTCTTGATAGAAGAGGTTGAGCATTGTCGTAGCTGGGTATGAGTTCCCCCCCCACCCCAAACTGCGTATTTGTGGGAAAAATAAGGTTTAATATTACCAAAGGAACGCGGCAAGGCGGAACACGGGTGCTGCTGAGAAAAGGACTAAGGAGGGATCAGGCACTGAATAGATGGCTACACAAAACCCTGAAAAATTTCTAACTCGTTTTAGTCCAAACAACAAAATACCAAATGTATTTCAAAAATATTCCAAATGCACTTTAATATCTGGACGAGGGGAGTAAATGGGGGAAAAACCCCCTCATCACAATATCCCGCAAATCAGGAAGGTGTGCCAAGCCCCTTCGCTTCGCATTTCGTGGGCATCTTAATCCTCGGTCATCCAATTAAAGAAAACCTCCTTCGGCGGTTTTACGAGCGCAGCACATCAACTCCCTTTGTTTACACACTGGAACAAGATGTTCTTTCCTGTTCCGACAAGAGAAGGAGCTGAGGCGCTAACGCGGGATCGCTGCGAGGTGGCAGGGGCTGGGTTCGGTTCGGCACATTTCGGCAGCGGGACCAGACGGAGCGACGAGGGCACGGTCGGTCACCGCCGGGGCGGGGGGCTGCCCCAGCCGTAAGTAAGTGCCAGCGGGGAGGGCGCGCTCCGGGGGAGGGCCGGGCAGCACTCCGGGCTGGGTGTACGGCCGGCGGCGTGGCCTGAGCCGGGGGCAGGGCGCTGAGGGGGCCGAGGGGCCGCCCCCGCCGCCACCACCCCCGCCCCGGCGGCGCCCCGAGCCGCGTCCCCGGGGAGCCGCCCCGCCCGCCCGCCCGGCGCGGTGCACCACGGGAGTTGTAGGCGGGCGGCGCGGGTCGGCCCGCCATCGCCGTCCCCTGCCCGCCGCCCCCGGCCCGCGGCCGCTCTCGCGAGGCTTCGGGGGCCGGGCGCGCGCTGGGGCGGGGGGCGCCGCCGCCGCCGCCGCCGCCGGGGGGATGTTGGGCGCGGGCGCGGTCCCCCCGCGTGACGTCAGAGTGCATTGTTGTGAGCGCGGCGGAGCATCCCTCAAGCTGTCACAGCTGTGCTGCCGCCGCGGGGAGCCTCCCCCCGCACCTCCGCCCCCTCCGCCGCCTCCTCCGCCTCCGCCCCTCCCGCCCCGGGGGCTCCACAGCTCCGTGTCACCGTATCATTGTCCGCGCGGAACCCCTCCGGGCGCCCCCCTCCCTCCCGCCCCCCTCCCCGGTCCGCCCTCCCCCTCGGCCCCCCCCGCCCCCCGAACCACCTCAATGAGATGCAAACATGAAAGACAAGAGGAAGAAGAAGGACCGCACCTGGGCCGAGGCTGCCCGCCTGGTAGGTGCCGCGGCGGCGGCAGCATTGTGTTTCTGCAGTGCGTGTGTGTGTGTGTATGTATTTATGTATGTGTGAGTGTGTATGTGTGTGTGTGTGCGGTAGGAGCGCGTCCCGCCGCCGCCAGCCCGGCGCGCTGCCCGCCCCGCCGCTTTGTTGCCGGCGGTCGGGGCCGCTGGGGAGGGACGGGAGGGGGGGGAGAGAGTGAGAGAGTGTGTGTGTAAGCCAGACTGAGGGGAAGAGTGTGCGAGGGACTTCGAGCGAGAGGGAGGATGAGGGACGGCGATCCGGGGTGTGTGTGCGAGGAGCGGGAAGGGGCGCGGGAGTGCCCGTGCGGGAGAGAGCGCAGTCGGCGGGAGGGAGCGGGTGCGAGTGCCGGGCTGAGCCCGGCTGGCGGTCCGTGCAGCCCGCGACTCTTCCTCCCGTCCCTGCCTGCCTGGAGAGGAGGAATAGCTGCGTCCCTTCCGCGGTGTGTGCGTGAGGAAATTCCTCTGTTCTTTTCTTCTCTCCTTTTTTTTTTTTTTCGTGAGTGTGTATGTATGTGTGTGTGTGTGTGTGTGTAAATGCCCAGGGATTGTGCTTATCTCTGCGAAGTTCGTGCATCAGATATCCCAAGGAAATCCCTCCTTTTAATGTAGAGAAAAGTGAAATAGCCGGGTATGGCGTTTTCATCCCTTTAGTGCGGACAGGAGGACCGGGGTGAGGGGCGTTAGAGAGAACTCTGTCCTGGGATTTCGCTTCACCCTCTCTACTTCTCCCACCGAGTCTGCAAATATCCAGGGCAATCAAACCCGCTTCTGAAAAGGCTCCGTGGCTCTAGATTGATACTCCATTCCCACTTCATTAAGAAACTGTCTCCCCTACCCTACTGTATCTGTTTTCATGATTCTGTATTACTGTTTGCTAAGTGTAACAGAACACATTGTTTATGTTGTTTTTCCGTTTCAGAGTATGTTCGGGTTCTCTCCATTCTAGGAATTTTAAAAACAATACTTATGCATGGTAAAGCACGAATGGTTGTGCACGTTCGTATGTGTGTCTTCTGCAAAGTTGGGACTGGTTTCAGCTGAGTGTGTAGAAAGATGACGAAGCTGGAAAGATAGGCTGCTGGTTACATTGCTTTTTGTAGCTACACCAACTTTGTCTTTTATTCATCTCTGATACAGACTGAATTGCTTAAGTAACATGCCAGTACTAATGTTACATCTCTTTCTGGTAATTGATAGTGGTATCTTAATACTATTATTTGTATAGTTAATTTATGAAGCACTTTTCTGGTAAAAATGTTTTCACCTTGTTATATGAATTCCTAGATAGGAAGTTCAGCCTCTCTCCTATGTAAATAATTATAAGGTATTAACCACTACCTATAGATGTCTCTGTAAGCTGTATCGAGGTATTCTCGTAGGCTTGGGCAGCACTAAATTCTGATGTGGCTCACTGTACATCCCCCAACATTTTGTAATAATGCAGCATTAGTGAAGATGTTCTGATATGGTGTCGCTACTGTCCGCATGTCTTACTTCTCATGATCTTAACAGAAGTTTCACTGCAGTGAAACACTCACCTTTGCCAGAATAGTTTTGGCAGTGGATGTTGCTACAGTACTTGTTTCTCCATGCTTTAAACTGACAACATGTCAGTTTAAAGATTCAAAAATCTATAAAATACGTCAATTGCTATCCTAACTTTACTCTTTCAAGTTGCTGCTCCAGTTATCACTGTAAGCTGTATTTTGTTTGACAAATGCACATAAAAGGATTTAATGTGTATCGAGTAAAATTGCTATTCCCATGTGGTAGAATACATGGAAAAGTTTAAAGCCTGTGGAGAACAAAGGCTGAGCCATTACTTTGGAGAAGGGCTAAGATTCTTCTTTCATGATGTTGTATTACCTCACATTAGCCACAGAAGAATCATGATTTGCTAAAATCAAGTAAAATGTAAGCTGATACAATGCTGGATAATAAGTGGTGGAGATACACAAGGTCCACATTGTGGTTTTGTCCATCCTCCTGGGGTTGTCAAGTTCTGTAGAGCTTGCCCCAAGTCTGTTATGTGAATGTGTGTTGCTGCTCAGACCAACTGCAGTCTAGCACTGGGCTTTACTACTTTTATGGCCATTTATGTTTGCAAATCACAACAAAAGACTGAAGCCAAAATTGCTGTTCCTTACAGTGTTTAAAGTTTGGACCCTGGTGGTTTGTTATGACTTTGTTTTCTTGGGATTCATCAATAATGTATTACTGCAAGGTTTGATTAAAATCAATTTCTTTTCACAGACAAGTAAACAATGAAGTGATTGATACCTACTCACAAAAAATGACTCATGAGTTACCTAGATCAATATGTTGTAAAGCTGTATGCTGCTGAATTATTTTTAGGAAGAAGAGGGTGAATTAGTACATGCAGCAACTGCATGAATATTTATGTGTTAATTTTTTTACAAAAACCCTTACATTACAACAATATTGGGCTTTCAAAGTGAAGTGCTAAAAAGTATGAAATGCGTGCTAGTTTCCCAAGTATTTTAAGTTCACTCACTAGAGCTGCTGAATTTTGATTTTGTTTTATTTGTTTGTTGTGAGGTTCTGTACTTAATTTTTATACACCTTTCAGACAGCACTGAAGCAGATTTTTGTTTTATGTTTCAACTGTATATACACAGCTGCTATTAGCAGCGCCCAGTAGCTTCCCAAATGCAAATGTTTCTATACTTGCAACATGCCTATGAGGTTAAGTATTTTGACCTCTGCTTTACCCATGCCGAGTTGAGGCATGGAAAGATTAAGTACCTTACTCAAAGCTGTTCAGGAAATCTGTGGGAGAGGTAGTTATGGTACCAACAGCGTCTCTGTAGTAGTTCTGTTTCATGGTCGTAAAATCATCTTCCTTCTGTGGCTACACTTTTGCCTCATTCATTCTCTATTACTACTTCTCTCACAGTAATTATGAGAGAAATTGATATGGTCATCTCTCTGTATTCAATCTATATTGAAACTCATAATGCACCATGTAATAGTTACGGATAAAAAGGAGTACAAAAACTGGACTTGAGCCTGAAATCGTTACACAGCTCTCCAATTCCCACATTCACAATGAAAAAAGGAGCAGTACTTCAGAAAAATATATTACATGGCAGTCTTAAAATACATTGTAACTTGGAAGTGGTGAGGCTCCAGTGATAGTGTTGTATTTACTAATTTTTAGTATTTGATTAAGGGGTCTTTGAAAATTTAAGTTCCTGCAATGCAGTGTTTTTTCAAGCTGTTCTCTTAATTTTTAAAACATAAGCAGGAAAGGGCTGCCCTTATATTAATCTCTTGCTGTAAATACCATGTATGCGATACAGGCAGTAAAGCAGGAACCACTGGCATGTCCTGTATCAGAACTTGCGTTTTATGGAAGAAGTCTCCTGCAGAGAGTTGAATCTTTCTGTCTGCGACACGCTGCTTTTCTCCTCGTGCAAGTCTGCTTATCTTAGGGCAAGGCATAGCCCAGCTTACAAGCATTCCTGAGAAATGAACGCATGTGCAGGATCAATGGAATGGTGGCATACCACTAACAGTTCATGTTACAGAACCCATTTTGTAGAACACACATTTTTATGGACAAAGTTGCAACCTGTCTTTGCAACCTGCCAAAGGGCATATCTTTGATGTAGACCTGATATGTCAACTTTGTACTTTGCAGCA